CACATGTCAATACCGACAGCAATGAAATTTATAGTAAAAGAAAAATTCGTCGAATTTAAAAATCATGAGGGTTCAAGTCCCTCTATCCCCAAAAAGCCTATTTGACTTCCCAAATATTTATCCTATCTCTTTTTCATTAGTGGTTCCAAATTTTTTATCTTTTTCATTCACTCTAATAAACGTATTTGAGTGTAAATGATTTTCTCTTCTCACATGTGATATATAATACACATCCAAATTAAGCAAGGAATCCCAGTTTGAATGATTCACAGTCAATATCATTACTCATACTGAAATTTACAAAGCCGTCTTTTTGAAGATCCGAGAAATTCCATGACTTGGAAAAAATTTTATAATCTGCCCCTGTCCTTTTAACTGACATAGATCCTAGTCATCTAATAAAATAAGGATGGAATGTTACATTGGGAATGTTCAGGATAGCTCAGCTGGTAAAGCAGATGACTGAAAATCCTTTCGTCACCAGTTCAAATCTGGTTCCTGGCACGTGATTCATTTGTATGAGTCTCTCAATTAAAAATTAATTGATATGAATCGAGATACATATTCATTTATAATCTAGATCATAATACATACTTTTATCTATCTTAGCGAGATATACCTCATCTATAAAATAGATGGGTAGAGTTTTTTAAATAAAGTGTTTAAAAGAATTAAATTCTATTTTCTCTTTTTTTTCTTTCGTTCAAAAAATCTGTTAATACTTCAGACATATTTGAAAGACTAAAAAGTCGAAGTTGAAAGAGACAAGATTCGGTTCAGATACCATAAAAATAAAGAAAATCTTATACCCTTTCATTTCTTTATATTTTCTCTTTCATATTCGATTTCTTAATTCGTCCCGACATGACTTTCTAGAACCGGTCTAAGTAATGTGCATAGTACAAATTTCATGTTGCAGAACGCGTTTGATTCATCCTATTGGTTTGGCTTGGCTCATACGATATAAGTAGCTTCCAAATAAATGTAAGAATTCCCAACGAACCCCCAATTCTGTCTTTTTTTGTTAGCCTATCCATAATTCATAATAGAAATATATAAAAAAAACTTCAATTAGGATTATTCTGGTTAATCTAGAACCAAAAGCACAACCCTTGAATCTCTGAAATTGTATAAGTGGAAATTAGTTTCTTATCATTCAGTGAGCATCTTGTATTTCATAAAAATTGGGTGCAATATAATCCTTACGTAAAGGCCATCCTATCCAACTTTCAGGTATTAAGATACGTTTCAAGCGTGGATGATTATCATAAGAGATTCCCAACATATCATAAGATTCTCGTTCTTGAAAATCCACACTTTTCCAAACCCAGAAAACGGACGGAATTCGCGGACGAAGTTCTAGGATTCCTCCTTGAGGCAAATACTTTTATGCATACCTCTTCTGGTTGATCCACACCATACTCTATTCTTGTAAGATGATACACACTAGCTAACAGTCCTCCAGGTGCTACATCATAGGCCCATTAGGAGCATAGATAATTGTAACCATATAAATATAAAATGACAGCAATGGAATGCCAATCCTTAGGCTTTATTTGTAAAGTCTCTATTCCTTGATAATCAAAGCCCAAAGATCTATGAATTAGCCCATGCTTGACTAACCAAGCAGACAAATGACCCTGCATATTTTTAGCTAGAATATTTCACATTCTCGATCAAATTTATGAAGATTCACCCACTACTTGTTATTCTATACAATACAAAGGAATCCCGTCTAACTCACTAATTCGTGAGAAGATACTAAATTTTTATATTTGAAAAAGTTTTCAGTAAGGATCTTTGAAGTAGATGGAGGTTGATAAATGAATCCTTGATCATAATTTCCAGTATTCATACTGCGTCCAACATGAAACTTGTGATTGGTAGTAAAACACCGATTTGCTTGTTGAGTCCTAATTCTATCTTCATAGATTTCTCGAGATACTTTCTTATGAAGTTTTGTTATAGCATCTATAACTGCTTCCGATTTAGGTGGACAACCTGGCAAATAGACATCCATGGGAATTAGCTTATCAACTCCCCAAATAGTACTATAAGAATCGATACTGAACATCCCTCCTGTAATTGTACAGGCTCCCATAGCAATAATATATTTTAGTTCGGGCATTTGCTCATATAATCTCACTAAAGAGGGTTGTTAAAATTAGATCCACTTGTCTAGGACTCGATGTCAGTACTAATCCATAACGATCAAAGTCAAATCGTGATCCTATTAGTGAAGCAAATTCAATGAAACAACAAATAGTACCATAGCCATAAACTAGAAGGTCATGACCAATTTGAAAGATCATTTAATGTAGTTGAAATAACTGAATTTTGGACTGTTTGATCAAGTAAAGGAAACTGAATGGAATTCATAACTTTTTCAATCTTTTTTTTTCCCTATTCTTTTTATTGTCTGAATATTCAGGAGCTAAGACCATTCCAATGCCCCCTTTTGCCATGCATAAGCTAAACCAACAATTAAGATAAGCACAAAAATTAAAGCTTCTATAAATACAGATACACCCAATACATCGAAACTCATTGCCCATGGATAAAGAAAAACCGTTTCAACATCATAAACAACAAAAATGAGAGCAAACATATAATAACAGATTCGAAATTGTAACCAAGCGTCGCCCATTGGTTCTATACCCGATTCATATCTAGAAAGTTTCTCCGACCCTTTCCTAATCGGGGCTAAAATGCCAAAATAGGAATAAGACTTGATATTATTAGAAATGCCCAAAAAATATCATATTCGTAAAGTAAAAACATAGACGCACTCCTATGAACACGGAAAATATACCGGATGGATTGATTCGAATTGAAATTGTCAAGTCATCCATAATTGTTTAGTCAAAACAAGAATTCATTTTGACTAAACCATCTAGTTTCCTTTGTTTATTGCGGGGCATATCTCATTTCAAGATTCATCGACTAACTTGACTTATATCCTATTTCCAATCTACTTATTTTTATTTCTTTTTATTTCAATTTTATTTAGCTAGTACAACTCTAACTATTCCTTTTATACAAATTCTCTTGTTTTCACCGAGGATTCTTGCTAAAGAAACCTACTTCCAAATAAAAAGAAAATAGAATTGTTATTTTGTGTTTAGAATTTCTAACTTATTATTTTTAAAATTGTTTATTCTAAATTCTTTAGAGATTTCAATTTTTTTTTTAGGAATAGAATCTGGAGTTTGTCATTTTTTCTTAGTGATTTCGAATAGAACAAGTATTCAAATGTAAGAGAATGGATAGGTATTTTGATTTCTAATATCTTAGTGTTGGTATATTCCTTTTCTTTTTTTAATTAGAGGGGTTTCTCTTGATTGAGTACAAAAAAAGAAGACCATTCCCTTTGTGCTTTGATAGGTCTAGGTAAGGTATACGAAGAAAAAGCCTATTTGACATTGTTGACAATGAAACTTACCAAAGAGATTCGTTTCTCAACAAACTTTGGCTTGTTCACAAATACAACAGGTCATTCCCTAGACCTATTTGAATTACTCTTTGAAGTTTTTAACCAGTTTCGTGTCATGATTTTAATTCCTAAATTCATTAGGATTAGGTATACCAAACAAAAGGAGTATCACTAACTTAACCCCTTGATTGTGGACAGGTAAATTCGTATAGAATTTACCTCCGAAGATTAATGAGGAAAGGTTGGTTTAATTATCCACGATTCGATCCCTTTTTCTTTCAGTTTTCTGTTCTGCTTTAAATGATTCCCGTGAGTGAGTATATAGGAATAATTTTGATTTCGATGAACCAACCCAGCCGGCCAGTTACAAGCAACAAACAATAATGAAGAAATGAAAATTAGAATATTTTCTATTTTTCATTTTCATTTTATTTTATAGGGCTATACGGACTCAAATCGTAGACCTTTTCAGTAAAACGGATCAAAATTATTATTATCAAAAATGATCTGAATTGTTTCAAAGACACAACATGAATTTATTTATTTTTTTTTTTTTTTTTTTTTTTTTTTGCCTTGGGCTCTTTCATTAACTGATAGAAATATCAGCCAGTCTGCCATATTTTTCAAAACAAGATTAAGGAGATGGCTCCATGTGCTCTGATTTATTATTTGGGATTCTAATCTAGGAGCACTACCAAAGTGTTTCACAGGTGGGGTTATGTTGACATAGGTCTACCTCTAGCCTAGATCAACCTAAGTTAAATGAAGTCTCTATCGTTCGGCTAAAAAAATAAATTATGAAACTTCATACACTTTAAAGTTCATAAGACGAAAAGAGATTTTTTGAGGACCTTATACTCATTATGCCAAGCATTGAATGGACTGGTATTGACCTTATCAATATCTCAAATCAATGTATGGGGTCTGTTTGGTACCTAAATGGGCACCAAAATTGGACCGAACCATTTTTCAGGCTACATTCCCTCACAGTTATGGAGCAAGACATCGATTTCTGAATAAGATGCATTTTTTTTTATTGTATGATGGACCTCCCAAAAAACATTGGCGCGCTTATAAACGAGGTGCTCTACCAATTAAGCTATAGCCCTTAGTGCTTGTGATACATATTTTATCATGTAGATAATTTCTTGTCAAGATGTATATTCTATGATCTAACATCCTCCATTTTTGAGTGGTATTGCTTGTATTAGTATTGCTCATAAGTAATATGATATTTATAATCCATCGATGGCATGTGTTCCATTTGGTTATCTTTGGGATGATAAATGACTTACTTAACTCAGTGGTTAGAGTATTGCTTTCATACAATAGGAGTCATTGGTTCAAATCCAATAATAGGTAGAACTTATTAGATACTGGAGTCAATGGTACCTAATACGTTTTTCGACCTACCCTCTTTTATTTTTATTGATTTTGTATCTTTTTTATTTATTTTATTTTTGTTGTAGCAAAATAGGATTCTGCTTGATTGGATTCACTCGACAGAATCCTATCAAAATAGGCTTAGAAACAGAACTTCTTTTGATTATTCGAACGCACCAACTAGTTAGGAAATCACATTGACAGCCTCTACTCTTGTCCTAGCTCGTCGGAGAGCTAGACTAGCCTCAATTATTTGTCTCTTTCCTTCAGCTTTTCTCAAATTAGCTTCGACTATTTCAAGAGTTTTCTGAGCTTCTTGTGGATCAAACAACTAGTTAGGAAATCATATTAACAGCCTCTACTCTTGTCCTAGCTCGTCGGAGAGCTAGACTAGCCTCAATTATTTGTCTCTTTCCTTCAGCTTTTCTCAAATTAGCTTCGACTATTTCAAGAGTTTTCTGAGCTTCTTGTGGATCAATGTCATTACCCTTTTCCACATCATTTACTAAAATAATGATCTCATTATTTCCTATTCTAGCAAAACCACCCATCAGAGCCATCGTTAACCATTGGTCCTCAAAGCGTATTCTCAAAATCCCTATATCTACAGTTGTAGCAATAGGGGCATGATTTGGTAATACACCAATTTGACCACTATTATTGTATAAAATGATTTCTTTCACTTCTGAATCCCAAACAATTTGATTAGGGGTCAGTACACAAAGATTTAAAGTTATTTCTTCAATTTTCTCTCCATTTATAAGTTCATAGCCTTCGCGGTAGCTTCATCAATATTACCTACCAAATAAAAGGCCTGTTCAGGAAGACCATCTAATTCTCTGAAAAGGATCAATTGAAACCCTCTAATGGTTTTTTCTAGACCAACATATTTCCTTGGAGAACCGATAAATACTTCTACTACAAAAAAAGGTTGTGATAAGAAACGCTCAATTTTTCGTGCTCTTGCTATGGTTAAACGATCCTCTTCGGATGATTTGTCCAACCCAAGGATAGCTATAATGTCCTGAAGCTCTTTGTAACGTTGTAAAGTTTGCTTAACTCTTTGCACAATTTTGTAATATTCTTCACCAACTATCCGAGGTTGAAGCATGGTTGACGTTGAATCTAAAGGATCTACTGCTAGATAGATCCCCTAGGCAGCTAATCCTCTTGATAGTAGTAGCATCTAAATGTGCAAATGTCGTAGCAGGAGCATGGTCAGTCAAATCATCTGCAAGTACATAAACTACTTGAATAAAAGTTATGGACCCTTTTTTGGTAGAATTAATTCTTTCTTGTAAAGTACCCATTTCGGTACTCAGGGTAGGTTGATAACTGATAGCGGAAGGCATTCTACCCAATAAGGCTAATACTTCGACTCTTGCTTGGACGAAATGAAAGATATTGTCAATAAATAGAAGTACGTCTTGTTCAATAACATCTCGAAAATATTCCGCCATAGTTAGGATAGTGAAACCAACTCTCATACGAGCTCGAGACAGTTCATTCATCTGGCCGTAAACTAGAGCCACTTTTGATTCTACAATATTTTCTTCATTAATCACTCCAGATTCTTTCATTTCCATGCAAAGATCATTTCCTTCACGAGTACGTTCACCCACTCCGCCAAATAAGAATACGCCCCAATGGGCTTTGGCAATATTGTTAATCAATTCCATAATGAGTACCGTTTTACCAACTCTAGCTCCACCAAATAGTATGATTTTTCTCCCACGACGATAAGGGGCTAAAAGATCTGCTACTTTAATTTCTGTTTCAAAAATAGATAATTTTGTATCTAACTGTATAAAGGCAGGGTAGATCTATGAATAGGAGATGTTGTTCGAATTTCTACAGGACCTAAATTATCAACAGGCTCTCCAAGCACGTTGAAAATTCGTCCCAAATTCGCTCCACATACCAGAACACTTAGAGGAGCTCCTGTGTCAATCACTTCCATTCCTCTCATCAGACCATCTTTAGTACTCATAGCTACAACTCTAACTCAATTATTTCCTAATAATTGTTGTACCTCACAAGTCACATTAATTGCTTGACCAACAGTATCTCGACCTTAACTACCAGAGCATTATAAATATTAGGCATCTTGCCTGACGAAAAGGCTACATCTAGTACCGGACCGATGATTTGGAAGATACGGCCCAGGTTTTTTTTTCAAGCGTGGAAACCCCAGAACCAGAAGTTATAGGATTAATTCTCATAATAATAAACAAAATATGTAGAAATTTTTTTTTTGCAAAAATCATCGAATTCAAAATAAAGGTCCGATAGCACGGAGATCAGTTAATTCAATAAGAAATGTCAATATGAAATGGGAGTTAGCACTTGATTTCGTTCGTACCATTCAATCGAATCCAATTCAATTGTTTACTTATTCATCCACTTGAAATTTTCAAAATAGCTTAGTTGAACTCGAAAATTTCAAATGGATGAATAAGAATCTTGAGAAAGTTTTCAATTGTCTATAATGTAGACAATCCCATCTATATTATAGAAAATATTCGATCGAATTCGAACCTGAACTCTTTACATTAGGATTCATTATTTCTATATCATCGGTGCTTCGTATTTTTTATTTCAGCATATCGATTTACGCTTAAGCCTAGCCTATATTTTTTCTTTTCATTTTTTATACCCTTTCATAGATGAATTCCACATATTCTCACATCTAGGATTTACATATACAACATATATCACTATCAAGAGGAAGTTTCTTATTAGTTACGTTAGGTATTTCGATTCCAAAAAAGGTTAAAAAAAAAAAAAAAAAAATTGGGTTGCACTATATATATGAAAGAGTATACAATAATGATGCATTTGGTAAATCAAATACCATGGTCTAATAATCAAACATTCTGATTACTTGATAATATTAGTATTAGTTGGGAAGTTTGTGAAAGATTCCTGTGAAAAGTTTCATTAACGCTTAATTCATGTTGAGTAGACCTTGTAGTTGTCAGAATTCTTAATTTATGAGTTGTAGGGAGGGATTTATGTCACCACAAATAGAGACTAAAGCAAGTGTTGGATTCAAAGTGGGTGTTAAAGAGTACAAATTGACTTATTATACTCTTGGATATGAAACCAAAGATACCGATATCTTGCAGCATTTCGAGCAACTCCTCAACCTGGAGTTCCGCTTGAAGAAGCAGGGCTATGGTGGCTGCAGGATCTTTTACTGGTACATGGATAACTGTGTGGACCGATGGACTTACCAGCCTTGATCGTTACAAAGGGTGATGCTACAATATTAAGCCCGTTCCTGGAGAAGTAGATCAATTTATCTGTTATGTAGCTTACCCTTTAGACCTTTTTGAAGAAGGTTCTGTTACTTACATGTTTACTTCCACTGTAGGTAATGTATTTAGGTTCAAAGCCCTGCGTGCTCTACGTCTGGAAGATCTACGAATCCATCTTACTGATATTAAAACTTTCCAAGGCCTGCCTCATGGGATCCAAGTTGAGAGAAATAAATTGAACAAGTATGGCCATCCCCTGTTGGGATGTACTATTAAACCAAAATTGGGGTTATCTGCTAAAAATTATGGTAGAGCAGTTTATGAATGTCTTCGTGGTGGACTTGGTTTTACCAAAGATGATGAAAATGTGAATTCCCAGCCATTTATGCGTTGGAGAGATCATTTCTTATTTTGTGCCGAAGAAATTTATAAAGCATAGGATGAAACAGGTGAAATCAAAGGGTATTACTTGAATGCTACAGCGGGTACATGCAAAGAAATGATCAAAAGAGCTATATTAGCTAGAGAATTGGGAGTTCCTATCATAGTGCATGACTACTTAATAGTAGGATTTACTGTAAATACTAGCTTGGCTCATTATTGCCAAGATAATGGACTACTTCTTCACATTCACCATGCAATGCATGTATTTATTGATAGACAGAAGAATCATGATATACACTTTTGTGTACTAGCTAAAGCATTACGTATGTCTACTGGAGATCATATTCACTCTTGTACCGTAGTAGGTAAACTCGAAGGGGAAAGATACATCACTTTAGGCTTTATTTATTTACTGCATGATGATTTTATTGAAAAAGATCGAAGTCGCGGTATTTATTTCACTCAAGATTTGGTCTCTCTATCAGGTGTTATTACCGTAGCTTCAAGGGGTATTCACGTTTGGCATATGCCCGCTCTGATCGAGATCATTGGGGATGATTTCGTACTATAGTTCGATGAAGGAACTTTAGGGTACCCTTGGGGTTTTTGGTAGTAGTCCAAGGGGTTGGTTTACTTTTGGGCATGCTTCGTTTGTTTTGCTCCTATTCCTCAGACACATTTGGCATGGTTCTAGAACCTTGTTCAGAGATGTTTTTGCCGGTATTAACCCAGATTTGGATGCTCAAGTAGAGTTTGGAGCATTCCCAAAAATTGGGGATCCAACGACAAGAAGACAAGTAGTCTGATACAAGAAAGCTTTGGTATTGAGTATTTACTTAGAACCAAATTTTTTGAAATGGGTAGTTGAAATTCCAAAAAAAAGAGTCAAATATTCTTACATTGAATCATTCATAGATGTGTATATCATATATGTGTCTATAGGCAACATATAGATTTTTTATGGATTCATCTGGTTCTTTTGAATCTTGCTCGAGCCGGATGATAAAAAATTATCATGTCTAGTTCCTTCGGGGGATGGATCTATAAGAATTCACCTATCCCAATAACAAAAAAAAACCTGATTTGAATGATCCTGTATTAAGAGCTAAATTGGCTAAAGGTATGGGTCATAATTATTACGGAGAACCCGCATGGCCCAATGATCTTTTATATATTTTTCCAGTAGTAATTCTAGGTACTATTGCATGTAATGTAGGCTTAGTGGTTCTAGAACCATCAATGATTGGTAAATCGGTAGATCCGTTTGCAACCCCTTTGGAAATATTACTTGAATGGTATTTCTTTCCCGTATTTCAAATACTTCGTACAGTGCCCAATAAATTATTGGGTGTTCTTTTAATGGTTTCAGTACCTGCGGGATTATTAACAGTACACTAACAGTACCCTTTTAGAGAATGTTAATAAATTCGAAAATCTATTTCGTCATCCAGTAGCGACAACCGTCTTTTTGATTGGTACTGCAGGTGCTCTTTGGTTGGGTATTGGTGCAACATTACCTATTGATAAATCCCTAACTTTAGGTCTTTTTTAACTTGATTCAATTGTGAAATAACACGACGTGTGTATCTAAGAAATAATTGCTTGAAAGCCAATTCTCCCTAGATACATCTATTCAATTCTGAATTTCTTTCGAATATATAAATTATGCTAAAGATTCAAAACATATTTTCATCTTAATGGAAAAAAAAAGACGACAAAAAAATCCAATAGATTTAAAACTTGTTTTTTGGTAAATCAATTACGAAATGTTTTTCTAGAATGACCAATATCTGTTTTATATCTTCTAGGCGCAAATGTTCAATTTTTCTGAGTTTAGCCAATTTATCGTGAAAAGTAAAAAGGGATAAAGGAATCGTGTGCTGATTGTCCTCTAAAGGTAAGTTTTCTTCTTCCTT